GTTTGTTTGAAATAACGCCCGGTGGAAGGACCCTGCTCTGAAATTGTACCCTCTGTTAGGATTTATCTGTACTTGTTTCCAGCACAGCCTTGATGCAGCCTGCGACGGTTTCTCGTGCAATTCTCTGCTATCTTTAAGGGAGTGCTACCATGTATTAATCACTTTGCTATGATTTATCCCTTAGTGCCACCAAAACTATCATTGTAAAAAAAACAAACCCATGTAATCTATGTATGATCCTTGCTAGAAATACATACGACTAATCTGCCTAAATAATGCTAACTAAAATTGTCTGTCAACTTTTTTTCTTGATTAAAAAAAAAAAAGCGAGACCTGGGAGGCTAAGGGCAGTGAAGAGAAGTAGCGTTGTCCTTCTCCAGTGCAGGGGGAGCGTGCTTAGGAAGTCCTATCACGGATTGGGGCCTGGACAGAGGGTCTTCCAAAGACAAAATTCAGTTTGAGGCCTGATGATTTTAGATAAAAGACATTTCAAGCCCTGAAAGACGACAGCTTTGCGCCATAAACTCCTGTTTTGCAATCTGCTTAGGAATGGACTGTGCTTAAAATAAATCAATAAATAAAGATACTAAAGCTGTGGAAGTTATTCTACTCAAAATGGTTAATGTGAACCATAATATTGTGTCAAACAGCATGGCTAAGACCTTTTCTGTTGGATGAACTAACATTAGGAGGGGGGGGGGAAGCCTTTGCGACTAGGGTGCTTGGTCTATTGAGGAATGGTATAAATTGTATGCACATGTCAGAGTTTCTTGAAGGTAAGACTTTCTCAGTTTTTGCTATTCTTCTCTGTAATTGCATATCGTATTAACACGGTAATATGAAGCCATCCCCCCTTCTTGATAGACAGGCTGTACTTTTTAAGCTAGATCCTTCTTTCTTTATTGAACTAGCATGGACTCCTTGCCAGCCGGTTTTCAGTAAGTGCTTTCCAGCTTAGGTGTATCTGAACAGTTTTATCTTTTATTTTCATGTTGATATGCTCAGTTTCTTCAAACTATTGGATATGGTAAACTTGTTTTATTGGCTTCTGATCTTCAAGTCCAAAATTAATGGTCCCTTCCAAGATGTTCTTCTGACAAGGAGGACGGCTCTTACTCCGTAGTGGAATAATCATTAGCTTAATGCTAACTTTGTGTATGTGCAAATGTATTGTAGTAGTTCAAAAAGTGCAGTTTTCCTACGTGTGAGTGTATGAATGGCTCAATTTCTAAGTGTATCAGCCTCTCCTACAAGATTGAAAGACCTTCTAATGTAACCCTGAGTATTTTTCTCCAGCTTTCCCAAGAACCCCATACAAATCTCTGCCTTCCAGAAGTTAGCTCAACAAATTCTGTAAATAGAATTTCATCGTCATGTCAATCCTCTCTTGAATCTTTCTAAAGTCTACTTGCTGATGCTCTTCATTATAAAACAGTTACTGCTTCTGTGTGATGTGTGTGTCCATAGGTCGTTCGGCTGCACTTTCCTGACTTACCTGACAAAAGTATGAAAACGATCGTAGCAAAATTGTCGATAGTTCTTTACCTTTTGGGGCAGACTCTTTGATTCTTTGTCTTGACTCTTGATTCCTGAAGTGCAGGCAACTGGAGTTGGATCACATGGACAAAGCTTTAGATAGAATGTTATTGTATAGTCAGATGATACTGAAAATATATGGAAAAAAGAATGGATTTTTTTAAACAAAGTAACCACCTGCTGTATATTAGAAACCAAAACACCCCCCCCCCCGTGAATTAAAGTACTTTTAAAAAATAATGTTTTAACATTTTAAGTTTAATTAACTTGTTGAAGAGTTTTGGAAAGAATTTTACAGAAGCACCTGGTTGTGTGAGGATAGTGCTGTTAACTAATCAGGATGAATGGGGGGTGGGTCTTTTCCCATCCACCCAAAACATGACTCCTCCAGTTAGCTGGATAACTGAAATGATATCGTAAATTAAAGCTTACTGGTCACCATGGAAATGCTTCAGTGACAAACCATGATAAGGTTGACCTGGGAATGGTGGATTGTTTGCTCATTGCTAGAAGCTGTAAAAAGCTGTTTTTATTTTTCAAAAGGAGATCCAACTCAGAGGGGCTGAGCGTCGGTGGTGGCCTTGCTCTGTCTTAATGTTTCCATTGATGTATTTAGATCAAAGGCACCATTATCTGGTTCTCTTTGCCCAAAATGGGCTGAAAATTTTGGCCATGTTTTATCATTGCCTCTTACTATTCCTTGTGAAAGTAGTATTTATTTGACCAAAAGGACACAACCTGATATTTTTTTACCAAAACAAGGAGCAGATGGAATCTCCCTTTCCTGCCCAAAAGTCATTTGCTTATAGTCTCTGAGCAGAAAAACAAAAGGAAGAGAGACAGTAAAGGTAGAACACTTGATTATTAAAAGCTGAAGTTGCATTTCATTATAATAGTCCCTGGAATTTCTTCATATTGCATCCTGGGAAATAGATGCTTACAACGTTTGGCTTGGTTAATGATGTTCCTCATTCATGGGAGGCCAACTAATGGCCCTTCCGATCTTTACCATAGGACAAGTTAGGATGGATGTAATTTTTCTGCCCCTCCCGGCAACTGCGATTGATGACCAAGGCAAAGATTTGTCCTGACTCCAATTCCTGGGGTGAGATCTGAAGAATGAATGACAGTGATCCACTGCAGGGATTCCAGTACTAGAATGATCTCATATAGTTCTTATATAGTAGTTCACTGATCCATGGTGATAATCACAGCAGCCTGTTCAGGTTGAGCCAAACAGGCCTCCTCTGGATCACCCAGCAACTGAAGATGTGCCCAGCAAGAGTGGATTCCAGGCCCAATAGATTAGCATTTTGTAAAGATCTCGGGAATGAAGAAGAGGTACCCAATCCCTCAGCTGCACTCTGCAGTGTGCTGGACAGCACACAAATGTCCCATAAGAAATGGTTCCCTGTTCTGCTATCTGGGATTGGACCCAGTTCTCTTATCCACAGAGCACCAGAGATTAGCTAAAAGGGCCAGAGGTCATCTACTAAATACAGATAGTCAACAATTTACCACCACAACTTCCTAGTTCTCCTGCAAACTTAATCCCATTCTAATTAGAGATAAAAATTGCAGGACTGGGATTGAGTTGTGAATAAGGAGGACAAAGGAAAAATAAAATTAACACATTTCTAATAGGGACATTTGTGCATTGGTAAGCAGATTTAATATGTGTGTAATAATTTTTTATGCCTTTTTCAAAGCCAAGGAGCTAGACATGATATGCTACATTAAGTGTGGAGTCCTTGGTGCTCACTGAGCTTGGTTGTTTTCCTGCTGATGTTTCTTTAGTCAGCTAGATAACATCATCAGTTTACTAGTTGGGTCATGAAACCCCAAGCTGAGAGCACTAACAACTCCACAGTTCAACCTTGAGCTACAAATATTCTCTTGATGCTATATTAATTATGGTTTATTCCTACAGCATTCTAATACAACTTCTAATACACTATTCCTATGGGGACTGGCCTGCTTACTCTATTTTGGGTAGCGATGGCATACGTCACACTGAAAGATGAGCTGGTGCATTCTATGTATTTGTTTCTGAATGGCTAAACCTTTTGAGTTGAAGGACTTTGCAGATTGACTTGCAGATGCCAAAGGGATTTGAATGCCAGCTCCCTAGGGAGGTAGAGGAGTTGCCCTGCCCTGAACATCACTTTGCCACGAGGGAGGGACGAGAACAGGAGGTCTGCTGGACTCTTCTGCGCACTGCTAGAAGTTGGTGCAAAATAGAGCTGCAGGCCGATGGGTGCTGAGAATTCAGGAGCAGCTTCGTCCTGCTCAGTCCAGACTATTTTGATCACAGTCAGAACTGAGTTTAGAAGTCATCTCATGCACATGCACACACATACCCACATAACCCCAGATTTCCAGGAAACCTAATTTTCAGCTTCCAAGTTCCAGATGCCTTCTAGATTAGTATCGCTGTTATTAAGACATTTTGTCATTGGTAGCGTACCAATGTTTCCTCAATGTTCCCAAGTCACGGTACAGAGGCCAGCCAAGTCACCTGGGCTCTAAAGCAGGAAATTCCTGATATTATAGCTAACAATCCACTGGAACTAGTACAAACATTTGCTAGAATATCTCAATTTGTTTTTCACCCATCCGGTACATACTCCAATTGATTGAGTACTGTCAATCGGAGAAATATCAAACAGTTGCGTTTCATTTTTTTTTCTACCTTTGAAAGACCTCCAGAAAAGTTGAGAAAGGCCTCGCTCCAAGCTTCTGGAAGCTGAGAGCAGAATGGCTGGGAAACATCAGCCCACAAAATCCCCTATCTGGAACTCCAGATGCAAATATGGATGAAGAGTGTGGAGATGTGAGTGTTTAATCTTGTGTTTCCATATGCCTATGCCCAAGAATATTAGTTCTGAAGAAGATTGTTGGATGAGAAGCGAAGCATTTTTTTTTTTTTTTTAAAAAAAAGTCCAGTTGCCTTTTGGAAAAATCGCCAGATCTTCTGCCAAAGGGGTGGGGGATAACAGACATAAGAAATCCCATTTCATAAAAGGAATCCCAGAGAAGAATCACAGGCAAGAAGATTTTGCTCAAGACAGCAGAAGATAGCAAGCATCTGGACTGCTCAAGAGATCATTTTGGAAATGGTTGTTGGCTCTATGGATAAAATGTATTGGTCAGTTTGAATTCGCAGCGAGGTTGTCTTCAGGTAATACTAGAAAAGAGCCACAGAAGACAGTGTCTTATTTCAGCAGTGTGACCAGACTGGTGCTCCAATTTGTGTGGTGGAGAAAGTTGTTCTCTATGATGCTCAGGCTAAAAATAAATTAAATAAAATTCAACTTTTAAACATTTCTGTGGCTTAAAGAAAATGAGAGGGGAAACATCAGCTTCTACAATGCTCTTGTTGTACAGCAGAGATGTCCAACCTTGGCAACCTCAAGACCTGTGGACTTCAACTCCCAGAATTCCCTAGCTGGCTGGGGAATTCTGGGAGTTGAAGTCCACAGGTCTTAAAGTGGCCAAAGTTGGATACCCCTGTTGTAGAACAATTTAACAGCCTAGGATCTCCCCTTCCACCAGCTATTGCTGCCAAAAATTAATGGCAGAGTTGACTGTTCTGTTGAGTGACATCCCTCCCCCAAACAAAATTAACCTGGTTGAAACAGCAAGGCCTTTTAAGCACTCCAACAATTGGGAGGAAAATCCCAAATTCTGGTTTGCTTATTGGTTGATATGGCACTAGTCCCCTCACAGGTTTAGCCCTTCACTCCCCCAGATTATAACAATAGCGTTGAGCACAAAGAGATTGGCGGTAGAGATTTTCAGGGCCATATTAGTGCACGCTGCTAAGAACTCTGGTTAGGAGGGTCTGGTTGCAGGAATGTTTGTGGGTGAAACTGGTGAAAAGTTCCTATGTCTAAAATAATTCTAGGGCCTTAGTTCCCGCTTACAGAATTACAAACAGCTGAAATTTGATTTAAGAATTTGTGTTATTTCAGAGAAATTAAAAAAGACTTGGAATAGTAAGGATTCATCTAAGAAAGTTAAAATAAAGGCTGTCTTATTATATAACCCTGCCTGTTCCACTACAAATGACTCTTGAATAGGAGGAAATTCTTGGCTGGTTTTCATTTCTGATTTTTCTTGGTGGGATCTGCAGCACAAATAAGCAAATCAAAAATGGAGAAATGGGATGGCTGAGAAATCAACAGTCAAGAACTTTAAGCATCATGCCATAGAAATTTCTGCCTCTTATCTGGCATGGCTTTTATTTTATCATGTAACTTAGGTTTTAATGCTCTGTCAATAAAATGCCGATGCTTGTCCTGTGAGTCCTATCTTTAATCATGAGAAACAGCTTAATATCCTAACAGTGGATGACCTTGTCTAAGAAGTGTTTTATAAACAGAACTAGAGATCCTGTATTCCAAATTTGTCAAATTTATAAAGAGCCCTCTCTTCACAGTGGGGGCTTTAGAAGTGATGTAGAGCATTCATTTTTGCTTAAAGAACACTGCAAACCTTATGTGGACCAGATGAACATCCCTATCAACTTCAGAAGGGTCTGCCAGAAGTTAGCCCAGGCCCGTTGGTGAACTGTGATCCTCTGCCTTCCCTAAGTTAGCAGAAATTCCTCTTCCCCTCCTTCCGAATTGAGTGGTACCCATAATTATGCCCCATAATTTCTGTGGATAGTGGCAAACGTGGGCTCTCTGAAGTTTAGCTTTTATGTGCCTTTTTCCTGCTGTCTCGCTAACATTGTAACCTGCTACTCTTTCATGGAAGGTAAGCTCTCTCGTGTTCTAATACCTATGTGTGTGATTCATCTGATCTCTTCCATGTGTGTAGCAAGAGCAAATTCTTCTGCTTGTGCCTTCCACCGTTTGGAAGGCGGGCAGATCTGCAGGCTTTGGGTTGGACTGAAGCAGCTCTGTTTGTTGTCACCAGCAAACTAGGGTCGCCACAGACCTGTGTTCCCCCTGAGTTAAGAGGGTTTTTTTTCTCTTTGAGAAAGCTGGCAAGCCCAAAGAGGCAGGTTATTGATTGATCCCCATTTACCCACAGACCAAGACTAGTAGCAGCTTTGAATGGGTAGATTTGATCCTTCCAGAGCTCTCCGGAGCAGAAGGCATTCCAGCTGGCCTTTCCCAAAGGGGCTTGCCAGTACAGTCAGATGATTTCTAAAGCTTCCTCATTTCTAACACTGATGAGATTTAAAACATTTTGCCCCAAAGGAAGCACGATTTAGTTAAAGCAAGCTAGCACACATTTTATTTTGAATCTTCTCTTTATTTCCCCAAGTATTTTTCCTTAAAGTCTGATGCAGGAGAGGTGAAAATCATAGGCTATAAGATCAAAAGACAAAAAAGCAAGGGAACCTGTGAGAAGACAACAAAAATGCAGTTTGTGTGTGCTTCACCCTGAGCTACTTTCAATTTATCTGGAATTGGGAAGAAATGGACCTCCTTATTTTCCCATTTTCCCCTTCAGGATCATGAGATCTAGAACCCTGCCTTCCTTTAAAGCCCAGCTCGCCCTCTGCTCATGATGTCTGGGACAACCATTTCCTCCCCCTTCTCATCCTTCTCCCAAGTCTTGAGTGAGGCTTGTGTGTCTGTTTTATTAACACCTTCCATCTCTCTCTAACCCACGTTTTGTGGACTCTTGAAATGTGGAGAAATGCCGAGTTGTGTCTGTTGGTTGTAATTACCTGGCTTCACTTTTGTATGGTTTTTATTTTATATGTATTTCTCCCTCCATTTCCCTTCCTCCTCACCCCAACATGCGTGCTGCTGATTTTAAATTCCACATCATTATACCTCTGTGGTTTAGTTTTACTTGGAATAACTTAAGATTAGCAAGTAATACTCTTGTTTTACAATTTGTAGGACTGCAGGAGAACCCAGCTGCATATTTCTTGGTCAGCACTGAGCAAGACCGAAGGCCAGGGGCCACCAGTGGCTTGCCGTTGAATAAGCAGCAGCAGAGTCAACCTGGAGGAGAAGCTGACTCCTTGGTGAGGGATGGTCTCTCAAGCAACAGCTCCTTCCACAGCAGCGAAGGAGAAGGGACTGACCACGAGGGAGACATCTTGGACTGCAGTGGATCCAGACCTCTGTTGATGGACTCAGAAGAGGAAGAAGAGGCTTGTAAAATGAACCCCCAGCTTCAGGAAAGGGGAGGTGGTTCCCAAAAGGACTTGAACCTCCAACCAGCCCAGAATGTGTCAGGGTCAGTTCTGTTCGACACTTTTCCGCAACAACCTGCAGAAACGTCTGAAAAGGAGACCGATGTTTTTGCCACGGCTCCTTTCCGAAACTCTAAAAGCCACTGTGATGACTTGGACATTTTCACGAAAGCACCGTTTCTCTCCAAAAGCCAAATGTTTTCTAAGCAACTGGATGAAGGCGATGTGTTCCTTAAAGCTCCGTTCACAAAAAAGAAAAGCCAGGAGGAGCTGGTGGCTCACAATGTCGTCAAGGAACCTCCTCCCACTGGGGCCTTCCTAGGCTCAGCTGGAGTTGCTCCTCAGCACACACGTGCCCCTACATTCCAGAATCTGGATGTGGGAACCCATGGCTCCCTTCTTCCCCAAGGCCAGTATTCAGGGGCCTCCTTGGTTCAGCCCTCAAGAGCAAGTGATGGTCCAGATGCCCACCCTCTCAAAGGTGCATCTGGAGAAGTCAGTCCCGTTTCCAACGATACACTCCAAAGACACCTGGTCCTCCAGGAAGGCTTCTTGGGATCGAAGACCAGCCCGCCTTTCCACCCACAGTCCTTAGCAAAATACTCCCGACATTACAGTCCAGAAGGCAGGCAGGGGACCAGCGCCCAACCCATAGCAGCTTACAAAGTTGTATCTCAGACCAACAAGCAGGTGATAGCTGGGTCCGTTTCTATCGCCTCTCTTTCTTCCAGGACTAAAGAACTACCCACTAGTGACCCATTTACATCTGCCCCCTTTCCCTCCAAACTGGGGAAGCAGAAGCCTTAAATGGTTTCTACTGTAATGACGTCCAGTATGTGGCTTCCGACAGGTATCTTTTTTTCAAGAAGTTGCAAACGGACCCCATGAAACGGAAGGCACTCTACTTCGGCCATCATGCTCAACACTCTTGCTGTGGCGGGCCCCTCCTGGCTCCCGGGAAGTCTCCTCCAAGCACTAATAGCCAAGGATGGAGACTTTTGATTTGTTCTGCAGCCACTTTCACTGACCAACACATTTTCCAGTCTAAGCTGTTTGGGTAAATATTGTCCTTAAGCTACTAATCCCACAGGGAATCTAATAGATAGGACTGGTTTTACCTCAACTGAAGGTTAACAGAACATCTCAACATGTCAAATGTGCACTAGAAAAAAAAATGGCAACCAGATTTTGTTTTGTTTGTCCCACAAAGAAGCTGAGAGGGCTCGGCATGTATTTCTGGTTGACGCTAATACTGTTTACCGGTTTTGGAGTAATGATCAATTTGAAACAAGTCTTCTTCTACAATGTGCATTACTTCTTTTTATCTGAATTGAATTCCTATCCTAAGCCTATTCTAGGCAAATGTTGGCTAGGATTTAGGCTATAGTCTTACCTGACACCATAACAGACAATTGAGTAGAGTATAGACAGTTTCTGTTATTTTCTGTTCTTTGTATAAGCCTGGGAAGCCTGGTAGTTTAAAAGAGTTTTTGCTGACTTTTTAAGAGGAGTTTTTGTTAAGTTTTGTAAAGCTTTCCATCATTTGCTTTTCATTTTTTGCAAAACCGGGTTTTTTTTTTCTTTATGAGACTGGTGAGATCATCAAAAAACTGTTAAGGGAAAAATTCCCATTTCCTTGGCTTTGAACTCCACTTTCTCCAGGGCTGAGTTTTCTAGCTTCCTACTTTCAAAGCATGTTTTTCCCTTCTTTTGCCACTGAAGCCCTGAATTTGCAGCCCCCAGATCTGAAAAATTGCTTTAGCAGCCTCCAGCAGTCATGCCTTCCAACTCTGCAGAATGGAGGCAAGCAGTCTTTCCTTTGTTGAACTTTTGAGGAACTTCTGAGGAACGATGCACTTTTTCTAAGCTTTTGTGAACCATGAGATAAGCTTTGTTCCACTTTCTTCACCTCATCTCTTCTGCCCCTCATCAGTGGATGGGGGAGGAAAGGAAAATCAGATGTCCCTCATCCCTATGTTCACGTGTAGGTCTAACCCTAAAATTGGTGCACTTGGTCTGGGTGTGCTACTTTCCACCATCAAATATGGTGATTCAGACCTTTTTTACCTTTCTGTGAATTTGTTCTGTCCTGGTGGAAGAGATGTGACGAGGGCACATATGGGTCCCCTTTTATACCAGTTTCTCTCAAATTGATATCCTCCATCAGCCAACTTGTCTCACCCCACCTAGGGTGCACGTGTTTGGGAATGACTGTTTGATACACAGGAGAGCCAATTCACAACTTTGGTGCAGTTACATCTCCAGAATGTTCAGAGTCGATCCTCTTCAAGTAGCCTTGTTTTTGTTCTGCGTTGCACAGACGACAAATGAAATGCTTTATCCTGAATGATTTTTTTTAAGTCGTTCAATCACCTGCCCTTCTAACTATAGTCCTGGGATTCCACGCAGGGCGGGTCTTCCTTCTGCAAACTTCTCTTCTTTGACAAGTGTTTGGAAGTGGAAATCTGATTCTGTAAAAGACTATTGACTGTTTAAATCCTTGCTAGGACAATCTCAATGTCCAGCCAGAAGGACCGAGACTGTGATCTATTCTCAAACTGACTTGTGCTGGGGAAGTTCAGTTGCTGGCCACAGGTTGACTTTCAGCTGTGAACCCTGCTGCAATGTGCCTTTTCTAGAAAAAAATGTTATTGCGTATTTGCTGAGCTCGTGAGGCAAGATACTCATATTTTTTATCTCTTGAAAACGTATGAAAGCTCACACTTGTATTTTTGTTCAGATTTGAACCTGTTAGCAATGGGGAGTATATTCACTTGATGTCTCCTTTTTGAAGGGGGGGGGGGACGCACTTTCTACCACTCTCCCATGCTGTGTTGTTGCATTTATCTGGTAGGGAAATGGCATGACCCGAGTCGGGGAAAATAACACTCCAATTTTGTTGAGACTTTTATAAAAGACTGTAAACTGCATGCACAGTCTTAGCATTTTGGACAAATAACTTTTAGCTTCTGGATTCCCTAGCTTCTCTGGTCTGCTGGAAGAGCTTGCACTTTTGAAAATGATCATAGGAGAATAAAATGCATCTTTCAAAGACGAGTATTACAAGAATGATAGCAGAAACTCTGGAAAGGAAGTAGATAATTTAGATGCTAAAAACAAAATGATTCCTAAAACAATGGTCCCCAACCTTTCGGGCTTTGCAGACCGGCGGGGCGGGGGGAGTGTGCACACTCGCAGCTCCATTTTTGAGTGTTGTCCACCGCTCATACAAATGGAGCTTCGCATGCAGGTGGGAGTGCCTGCCGCTCGTGCAAATGAAGCTGCGTGCTTGAGTGTGCTGCTGCTGCTGCTTGTGTGGCCCGGTTCCGAACAGGCCATGGCCTGGGAATTGGGGACTCCTGTCCTAAAGGAGATCCGTTTTTATTCAGTCTTCCCACGTCGACTGCTGGGATCTGCAACTTTTCATGTCTTCTGTTTAAACAGACCCATCTAAGCGTGTGCAGAAGCCTTTTCCCACAAGATGTTATGGTTCATCCTTCCTAGGAAATAGATGCTGGATATGATTTTTGGATGAATGGAAGCATCTCATCTGGTATTACCTGCTGACACATTCCTGGACTCTAAAAAAGGAGGTTGGCTGTAGGTTGGCCCAGCACCACGATGGGGCTCACAACGCTTCCTGGCCAGGACTCCCTCCTTGTGCACCTACCTCATCTCTTAAGCAGGTGCTGGAGTGGTTTTTTTCTGGTTTTGTTTGCTTTGTTTTTAAATCCAGTTTTTGCTGCATAATTTATATTATCAATTACAGCTTACAGGAAGAAAGTTAATTGTTCAAAAATTTGGATATCTTTTGGAAGAGGGAGAGGTAATTCTCAAAAGCATGGATGCAGACTTTTGCACCTCTGCTTCTGAAAACTTTTGCACCTCTGCTTCTGAATGAGCACTGCCATGCTGTTTTGTGTTCTTCATTTAAGTTAAATATTATGTGTTGTGGTTTGAGAGGGCTCCTAAAGGCATCAGAAAGACCCACTCTTAAGAAACCATAGCTCTTAGGAACATCGCCCAGGCCATAAATTGGAAGATATAATTTAAGGCCAAAATGTCCATTGTGAGAAAATTAGGAAATGCAAAGAGGTCATCTGTGTGACCTCATTTGATGAGTCAGAACATCACAATCTTTCCAACCTGGTGTTTTCCAGATGTGTTGGTCTTTTGGCCAAGAAGGGATTTATTTGAGGAAGACACCTGTGATCTGTGTTCAACTGCAGACAAATGTCCATTTTGAATTTTCCATAGTCCTTTCATTAGAGATCTATAGAAATTTGGCCTCTTCTTGAAGACAGTGGGAATGTTTTCATTTTATATTGATGATAAACACAACCTTCAGATCTAATTCTGATGTTTACATCACTGTTACAATCAGTTAACTCAGCTGCTATTAGTTTTAGTTGGCTGCTTTGAAAATCATTGCAGAAATCACTCCTCAAAGAAAATGCTTTTGAACAGGCTAGTATTATTAATATTAATGTTATTATTGTAGTAGTAGTAATAATCGTTTAAAAGTTCTACAAAGGTTCACGTGGGACAGATGGTACTTTAATAGTACGGTAGTTCAGTTTTCTCACCCACGGTGGGCTTTAAGATTTAAAGTTGCTGAGGTTGAGAAACTATAGAATACAGAATCCAAAACTCTGCAATTTTCCAGCTTACCTAATTAGTCCTTTGGGTGCAGGTATTTCTCTGTTCATATCAGTGTCTGAGAACACAACACATGTAGACCTTAATAGATTTCTTGTATTTATTGGGCATTTTAAAGCATTCCCTTCATATCTGCCCCTGTCCCAGTCTTAATCTTGATGGTGATGGAAAAAGGGAGGCATAAATTAAAAAAACAAAAACAAAAAAAATCTCTATACTTCCAAGAGCAGGAGAATGAAATTATGAGCCAAATAATGCAAAGTTGAAATACAGAATAATCTCCTGTATTGATATAGTAATCACTTGGGTTTGTGTTTGTATGCATGTGTGGGCTACTATCTCTTATTGCTTATTTTGTGAGATTTAAATTCATGCCATTGCTGCATAATAATGATAAAAAGGGGGTCATCTAAATTTGGGGAATATTCTGCTAAATGTTCCTAAAATGTAGAGTTCCTATAGGACTCTTGAAAGACCCATGCAAGTCCTGTCATTCCTGACGGAGGGAGGGTGATGAAGTTCTGTCATGTGTTCAGCTTTTTAGTCAGGTGCAACATTAAACATGTGAACATGTTTAATCTGTTTGTATTTTTTAAATAGCAGCTGCTGAAGGTTGTGGTGGGGAGAGGTGACTGTGGCTTGGGAATGCAAGTGAGCTTAGATGTACAAGCACATGTACCGCACTCCACACACACACACCTCTGATCCTTTTGGAAGGAACTTCCTTTTGCACCAAGGAGACCAGAGAATTGCATTGTGGGAATGGGTTGAAGGGCAGGATCGTGACCCGCAAAGCAGGATTGGCACCTTTCACTTTCTCCTCCCTGCATACCACAACCCTATTTTTGCTCATTCATCTCTTCTAAGAGGAGCTGGCCTGTGGGGCCAACCACCTTGGTCTTGAGCCATTTGGCAAAGCAGGGAGGGTGGGGGCACGGCCCCTTCCTTTTTGTACCCACATCAGAACAGGGTCTCCAAATTTGGCAACTTTAAGACTTGTGGACTTCAACTCCCAGAATTCCTCAGCCAGCCCACAAGTCTTAAAAGTTGCCAAGTTTGGAGAGCCTTGCACTAGAATAACCCAGTCTGAGAAGTTTTGACTTGCAGGACTTCCTCTAATCTTCCATAGGAAACAGAAGAGTCTTTGGGAGAGCCCTCTTGGATATTGATGAGGGGGAATGACGGAGGCTTTTGACTTACTTCCAGAGGACCAATAACGGTCAGAAAACATTGGGATGACAATCAGTTATACGATAGTCAGGAATTCTTTCCTTTTGTAATGTAAGCATTTTGTATTCTCTGAAGCGTTCAAATGAAATAAAAGTTGAACACGTTGACAAAAGCTCATACCAAGTGTGTGGTCTGTCTTATTTTCCTGCTGCCCAGGATTACATTACTAGACCTTGTAACAATGGCAGGTTGCTGATCAGACGAGACTATCCGTATCACTTTACTTCGTGAGCCTGATGGCTGCCTCCATTGTTCTATGTGGGATCCGCTGTCGGACTCTTGCTTCAAGCTCTACACAGGACTGGTTTCCATTGGCACAGTGCAGGCATGTATCGTGAGACGCTCTTTGATGCCGAAAGTGGACCAGATCATAATACGGCCAGGGAACTAGCTCTCCCGCTAAACAAAATGTGAGCGATTGCAGTGAAGAAGCAACCCATTCATAGATACCATAGAACAGTGGTTCTCAACCTTTCTAATGCTGTGACCCCATAATACAGTTCCCCATGTTGTGGTGACCCCCAAGTGGGTGTGGCCACCAATAAGAGGGAGTAGGACAGCTAGGGAAAAGGGAAAAAAATGGCGGACAGCGTGGTTTGGCAACCCCCGTGAAATGGTCGTTCGACCCCAAATGGGGTCCCGACCCACAGGTTGAGAACCACTGCCATAGAATCTTAAGGCTGGAAGAGACCTTGGAGGTCTTCTCTGCCTGCTCAAGCAGGAGACCCAATACTGTAAGGACCTGCCTCAGCTAGTCCCTCAGGAAAGCAAGATTTTTGAATCCATTGTGTTGAATCAAAAGAACTTTTACTGAGAGAAAGTGGTTGCAGTAAAATTGGATGGAATCTGAAAGTCCCACGCAAAGCACAAAGCAATTCTTCCCCTCGACCGGCTGGGAGGGAGTCTGTCCGTCTCCAAGAAAAATCCCCCTCCCTATTGCTCTTACTTTCCCTCATTTTCTTCTCACTTTGTCCTCCCCATTCTGTCCTACTATTAGCTTTATATTTTACGTTACAGCTTAATAAAATGTTTAAAAAATAATTCCATAAATAAATACGGCACAATTAAGGCAAAGCCAGCCGCAGGGATAGAATCGGGATAGCCTGTCCTGACAAAAGTGAAAAGGGGGAAAGACTCCTCTTTCGCTCGGCTCCTCCACGGCCGGGGAGCTGCTGCAACCCCCGGGGGAGGGGCGGCACCCCACTTTCCCACGGCCCCCAAGCGCGGCTCCTCCAGGGAGCGTCGGATCGAGCAGCCTGCATTGCCCTCTTCCGCCGGTAGAGGCCACTCTGGGCGCGATACCGGGCGCAGAGGGCTCATCAGGCGCCTGCGCAGTCCGCCCTGGACGGTCCTTCCTCGGAGGGCGGCAAGATGGCGGCCGCGCGGCGTCTGGCTGCGGCGCTGAGGGGCCGGTAGGTGGCGGGAGGGGTGCAGCGTCTGAGGCCTCCCCCAAGTTGGGGGGCCTAGGCCGCCCCCTTCCCAGGGCTGAGGCGGCCTTTCCGCGGGGCTCTCCCGCATTAAAGAGCCCCTGATCCTCCCCCGTCCTTCCCCAGCCCGCTGCCCCGTGGAAACGCCGACGCCTGGATCTTCCTTGGGAAGTCTTGAACTCCACCCCCCATTATCCCCAGCCAGACTGTCCCCTCCCTTCAGCCGATGTCTTTTGGAAACTTTGGCCTGCCTCACTCGCTACCCTGTTTCGCGTTCCCCCTTATTTCCTGTTATGGGTGTTGTAGTCCACCCCACAGCAGGGGCTGGGGGGTATCCTCTCATCGTTCAAACCCCTCTCTCTCCGACAGGCTCTATCTAAACTGTTTTGAAGCTGTCAATCATCCCTTTGGGGGAGGCGGAAAATAGGACACCTGCAAAGGTGCTGATGCTTGTAGGATGGGGGGGTCTCCAAACGTGGGCACTTTAAGACTTGTGGGCTTCAAATCCCAAAATTCCTCAGCCAGCTGGAGTTGGTGGCCCCGTTTGGAGATCCCCCAGGAGACCCCCCCCCCCAAAGTGCAGGAAGTAGGGAAGAGATGGCACCACTGGCTGGTCTTTGCAGGAGTTTTGTCACTTCTGTTTCCCTCCCCCTCCGAGCAGCTCAGGTTTAAACCTGGCTTAGCAAAGATCTGGCTTAGCAAGGTCACCTGCATTGAATTTGCCGAATGGGCTCTAAACCGCTTTTTCTAAGAAGCTCTCTTTTGGAGGTTTGGTCAACTGGGTGCTGTGCCTTAGTTTTAGGGCGGTCTGGAGTATACTGGACCTTTGTTTGTTCCATTGAATGCATGAGTCTGGGCAGCTCATAGCAATTAAAAACTAAACAAAGAACCAAAGCAATCTTAAAACATAAAAGGATATGCAGGTTAATAAGAAAAACCACACACAAAAACAAATCTGCACTCAACTACGGAAGATGTTTTGCTGCGCATGCAGATCCCCATGCCTGGTCTCCTATGCCTAAATGATTAGTTTAAAAACCTGCAATTAGTTTGTCACTGTTTTTGTCTTTGCAGGACAGAATTACAGACTTTATGCTTAATGGTCTTTCACAGATGTTTAGCAGCCCCTTGCATTACACCCTTCCTTGTTCTCCAAGGGTCTCACAGCTTCTGTGGGGGAAAGGATTTTGAATGGGGCTGAGCAGCCATCCGGATCTGAAGGGAGAGGGCACTTCAAAGCATGCAGGAATGCAAATGTCATACTTCTGAGCAATGTCTTAAAGACACGGTTGATTTAAGGTGCTGCTGAAGGGAGGAGGTGTGTCCCTAGCTGGGCTCTGAGCCATCTTTTTCTCTTTAGATCTGGATTGTTGCCCAGACCTGACTTCCAAGGCAATGACAAAAAGAAGGATGGGGCCGAAAGCATTTTTCTTTGAACCATGTTAGTTTCCTGCTGATTGCATTAATAAAAAAACAATAACAGAAGGGGCAAGGAATCACATGAATATCCAGAGAGATGCTCTCCAAAGCTCTAATCTTCTGTGTAGTTTTGTGAAGGAGGAATGCAAAGACTAGCACACCCAAACATGCCAGATGCTTATTTCATTTGTCGGATATATATTTCATTTTGTTTTTCCTAGACAGTCTTGCTGATATCTAGATTGCCTGGTCTGTAATGCAAACATGTTGTGCAGTGTTTCTCAACGCCAATAACTTTAAAATGTGTGGATTTCGGCTCCCAGAATTCCCCAGCTTCATCTTGTCTATACATCTCTGGAGAGTCCTTTAATACTCTTGGCTGTTCTTGCAAAGTAAATGACTGGATTCACACATGTAGTGCTAAGCTGAGGGTAATCATAAGCGTAACCCAAAAATGTCATTATTTTCTTCTGAAAGATTTCTCCTTACCTGTTTTTGCAACTTTAGATGCAAACAAATAGGACTTGCAGCCTGTTCAACATCTGTTTTCATACAGAGAAAGGAGATTGGAAAGGAGAAAGGAGAGCAAAAATTGCTAGAATTTTTATTTTTTTCCAGCCATCAATTCTTTAAGTCCCCAGATTTCCTTACTGTTCAATGGTGTTATTTATTGAAATATTTATTCTTCCTTGCTTCAAGTCAAAATTCAAGCTCTAAATCTGTTGGCTTTCCACCTTTAATGAGTCAGTCATTATTATTTGGTTGAAGAAATTCCATTAAACCAGGCATGTCAAACTCACAATGTCATGTGACGTCACACAACATATCGCAGTTTCGGTGTGATGCATCTGGCCCGTGGGCCAGCAGTTTGACATGCCTGCATTAAACTGTCTTAAGAATCAAACTATGACATTCTTAGCTGTATTTTTTTTTCTCCATTCAGCTTTTGTCATTTGGGATTAAAGAGCACAAATGTATCAATTAAACAACCCCAGCGTTTTGTTACACCACACAAATCTTTCCTGTTTCCTGCCGTGCCACAGATGTCAGGTGGGTGTTTTGCTTGTGCATTTTCAGTTCTGTGGGATGAAAATGCTTATGATACGTATGATTCTTTTCTAAAATGTATTCATGATGAATAATTATGCTTCAGCCCCACATGCCTAATTTCTCACTAAGTTAGAAGGATGTGTTTGTCCTATTCTCAGATTTAAGGCCACTTTTCTTCAGCTTTTATAAATTGGGGAAAAGGCATGAGAATAGAATAAAGGAGTCTAATGTTTACCTTCTTTTCTAGGTTGGATTCACATATTTCACTAAACCAATATGTTTGGGGTTAATCTGTTCTGTGAACTAACCAGTTACGGTTAAACAAATCACATGTTACTAATGCCTGTCCAATTTTACTTAATAGTCAATATAAATAATAGTTGCTACTTTTTTGGTTAGTGGATTATCAATTATTTGAACCCGTCTGAAAAATAACCAGATAAATATCTTAAATCTGCTCATTTCATCAAACCTCAGGGTGGAGAGAATGGGATAGGCCTGTGTATTTCATTAATCTGGGGTCAGGTAGTGCAGTGTCAGCCACCCTGTTAATCTCTTCTCTTTTTAATGGCCCAAATTGTGCAGTATTGTGAAGAGCCCATGAAATGTTAGGTGTGAACAAGAAAATTTTGTGAATTAGGATGAGATCCTTAGTATCTTGCGTGCTTTTGATGACCTTATGCAATGAAAAGCTTAACATCTCCTGTGCAAACAGAAAATGGTTTGTCTGAGAAACCGCCATGAGCAGCCCAAATGTTTAAGACCCTTCCAACTCTATGGTACTCTTACTGTTAAGTGTGTCTTGCAGATCCGAATAACTAGGCCATATAATGTGCAATTGCTGGCGACAAAAGCCTCAGAATTTCATTGCTATCCTCTCTTGCTTAGGAGCACCTGGGTTTTTCTGATTGCTTCCTGGTGGGCAGTGAAAGTAGCTTACTCTCATCCAGGCAAGGTGAATGACTGTGTTTCAAAATAATTCATTTTATTTTTTTCTTCATTTCAGTGAGGTCTCTATTTATTCAGACGCAGGAGACTCCAAATCCAAACAGCTTAAAATTTATTCCAGGGAAACCAGTCCTGGAGTCCAGAACGATGGAATTCCTGTCTCCTGCTTCCACCTACTGCTCTCCGTTAGCAAGGTTTGGAGCGGGAGGGGGGGGCACATAGCGTGACGTTGATTTGGAAACCTGTCCCAGTCAGATCTCTGATTAGGGGCAAAG